GGAGCTGACAAAACAAAAAAAATCAACTGATAGCGCACATATCCAATATGGTTTCAGCCGAATTCATAATAAACTTTGATAAAACTATCGAAACCACCATCTTGCAAACTGAAGATGAAGAATGTTCGGTAGAAAACGCTTATTTGAAAGGCTGCTATAATTGCGCAAAAGGTGCGGAAGCAAAGGTCTACTGCAAATCAAGAAAAAACTTGATTGGAGAAATACTATGCGGAAAAAATGCTTTCGCAGTACCATGCGCATCATCAGCGCCGCGATCAACATTACGCTTTCATCTCGACAGTGCAAGGCAAAATATCGATTGTACCCTGAAGTGCGGAAGGAAAACGCATAAGTTCATGATTTCTGGAATTTTGAAATATATCGGTACCTTCCGAGAAAGCCTATTCAATAAACTTCAGGGAAATCACACAGTATACAACGAGATTCCATGGCCAGACTTCAAGCATATAACCAATTTTGTTTTGAGCTGGTACAAAACGCTAGCAGTTGCTCTCGTATGCGTGTTAGCTGCTTTACTTTTTACGTATCTCTGCCTTCAAACATTAGGAATGCGCATACTTTTGCTAATTTTGAAAATTGCACGGACTATAATATGCTTTCTTGCGCGCATATGCTGTTGGGTTACACGTAAAGTTTATGAAAAACATAAAAACGAAAGTGACTACAAACATAAGAAAACTTTTTAACCTTATCAACGCCGTATGCGCCTGCGCCAAAAAAAAAGAAAAAAAAAGAAAAAAAACAAAACAAACAATAACCCTCACTATCTTTTCCAGGCAATGGAACCAGAAGACGTGCAAAGCCTGAAGCAACAACTTCTTGCGCTAAAAAATGCTATCCCGAAACTACCAGCGCCAGCAGATTTACGCGATAACAATTTCAAATACTGTCACGACGTAAATCATACGATGAAAAAAGTAGACGAACTGCAAAGCAGCATCGATGTAGTACGCAATTCCAAGATGAATTTGGAAAAGAAAGAAAACAAACTACACTACTACGAACTAATGTGCGAGAAACTGCGCATCGAATTCCTACTGCTTCGCACTCAACTGCGCACATTATACGCCGTACCGCAATTTTTGTTCGCGACGAAGATAACAACGCCTGTGATTTGGGAAGCATTGATGGAATGGCCCGATGAAAATGAAGACGGAAAGGAACGTTGTAAACCAAAAAGAAGTCGAAGTAATGATTGAAGACCAGCTAAACTGCCTCGAAAACTTCAAAACAAAGCTACACCACCTCATTGAAGAGATTTGGCAGCAAAACGATCAACAAGAAGCGCAAAAAGAAAAAGAAGAAGAAACAACCTTTCAAGCCGTAAAAAACATGGAAAAAATTTTGAAGGATTTGCAAGAAAAGTTCAAAAACAATCAGGAAGAATCAGGAAGTCTTCGAGAGCGCAGAGAATCAACAACCAGTGAGTCATCAAACGAAGACAACGAGATCGCCCGAGCTTATAGCGAAGCCGAAAGGGAGCCAGAGCAACACGAGGAGGGGAGGCCTGCGGATCAGGAACCAGTGAGACAAGACGAACAACACGAACAACAAAGAGTTGCGGAAGAAGAAGCAATACGAGAAAATGAAGAGTTCATGGAGCCACTTGGTGGAATGGACGTGGAAGAGGTCCCAATGGACATCGAAGAGCGCATCGGAAGATTGCAACTGGAGTACGATCGTAATGCTCAAGCCATCCTGGATCTGAATCTGTTAATAGAAGAGTTGGAAAACGAACGGACCTGTCGGCCACGCTCATTCTACAGAGGCGAAGTCAAAAGCATTGAGCGCAATATGCGTTGCGCTTTTTGTGAAGCCATTGGCTCACACTACTCGGATTCTTGTTGGGAAGCGGCAACGGCGCGCGAGAGACGACAACTGCTTGCCGACAAGAAAAAATGCGAATTGTGCCTGGAAATCATCTGCTGTGGAGGAAAGCTGTGTCGGAAATATGGGCAACCATGTTTTCACTGTCACCGCACAGGGCATCATTCAGCTCTATGCAGCCTCCCCGAAGAAAGCCCGATCATCATGCAAAGACTGCAAAAAGCGAGGGATGCGAAGGAGCATCACAGGCGCCGCGCTGAAGAGCTCGAACACGAAATCAACGAACTCAGAAGAGCACTTCCCTAGGCGGCCGGGAATATCGCTGCAACGCTGCGATCCCTCGAGGTTGTTACGTTTTCTATGGTTACTGTAACGTCGCGGCAACGCGGAGAACGTTATCTCATGACAGATATTTATTTGCAGCTTCAACTTCTCAAAATATATGGTTATCGTGCAACACATGGGATATAAGAAGCCGCGGTCGAGCGCGCAGGGGCAGAATACTTTTATTTTTTTCCTTTTCAATCACGTTGATATCTTTGTTCTCACTTTATTTTAATTATAACTCGTTTCAACCATTTTGTAAGGGCAAAAAGGCTGGCTGTGATTATCCACCGCGCACGCACTTTTCTATTTTTGCGCCAGAGAAAAAAGAGTTCTTGCAATTTTTCGAATATTCAATTTCATCGCGCCAAAAACATTTATCAATAATTGCGCCTATTCACATTCGTACAATAAAAATGGTTTATTTCTTATTTTTTGCGCATTATTGTTTTGATGTATCAGACTTTCGGTTTAATTACCCAAGTTTGAGGAATAAACTCTGCGCCCGATCGTGTTGTTGGTCATATTGACGTTTGGTTGGTCATTACCGCGTGGCAGCGAACATAGAGTTTATGGGCGCGAAATTTTGGAAGTTACGAGGTTTTACAGACAAAGTTTGATATTTGTCGAAAAATCTACTGAAGAATTCCTACTTTTGTCCAAAAAGAAAACAGCAGGGGGTGGCATGTTCTCCTTAGAGGGGATCAGGGAGTTATGGGCGCGAAATTTTGGAAGTTACGAGGTTTTACAGAGAAAGTTTTATGTCGAAGAACTTCTAGCCTTTTTCATTGATGGATTCCTTACTTTTGCCCGAAAAGAAAACAGCAGGGCGAGCTTCTCCTTGGAAGGGACCAGGGTCTCTATGGGCGCGAAATTTGCGAAGTTCCAAGCTTTTTTTTAGCTTTTCATAGAGGAATTCCTACTTTTGCCCGGAAAGAAAACAGCAGGGCGAATATGGTCCCCTTTCAAGGGACCAGGGACTTTATGGGCGCAAAATTTAGGAAGTTTCGAGCTTTTATAGACAAAGTTTGATATTTGTCGAAAAATCTACTGAAGAATTCCTACTTTTGTCCAAAAAGAAAACAGCAGGGTGAGCATGTTCTCCTTAGAGGGGATCAGGGAGTTATGGGCGCGAAATTTGCGAAGTTCCGAGGTTTTACAGAGAAAGTTTTATGTCGAAGAACTTCTAGCCTTTTTCATAGATGGATTCCTTACTTTTGCCCGAAAAGAAAACAGCAGGGCGAGCTTCTCCTTGGAAGGGACAAGGGACTTTATGGGTGCAAAATTTGTGAAGTTTCAAGTTTTACAGAGAAAGTTTTGTGTCGAAGAACTTTTAGCTTTTTTCAGGAGGAATTCCTACCTTTGCCCAGGGCTTTAACGCAGAATGGTAGCAGCAGGTGGGGGGAGGATCTACACCGCTGTGAGTTTACTCTCCCAACTTCCTGAGCAATCCCAACTAGCTCTACTTGGAACAGAGCTCTCATACTTTGCACTACCCGGTCAGACACCCGTCATCCGCGGCACACCAAGCCTTACCGCTCCACCATCTGTTGGAGTGCCACTCAGATAATCGCCGGGGGCAAGCGGCCATGCGAATTTTGAGCAAGCGGGCACCGGAAAAATAGTTCGCTGATTTTTTGTGGTCCGCTTGCAGAAATTTGGAATAATTTTGGCCAATTTTTAGACGAACGCTCGAAGATCTATCGCGGTTTCTTTATACATAAGTTGCGGCACAGTGGCCGCATTCTCGCGGATTTTCCGCGAGAACATGCAAAATTATTGAGAGCCGCACGGTCCTTTTTGAAGGACCGCACAGCCCTCAGGTACTTTCCGCTGAAAGAAAGTACCCCAAACTTGGGTAATAAAACCATTGATGGCACCTCTGCCACATAGAGTCTCATCTTTTCTCGGCGTACGCCCGAAACTGCGTAAAAAGAGTCTGAGCGCCTGCTGAAAGTTGGGCCAGCGCTCGCTGAAAGAGATTGTTTGACGAGCGCTTGCAGAAAATTTTGTATTGATGCCCGCTTGCAGAAAACGCAAATACCGCCCGCTGAAGATTTGGCCACGCCCCGAAATCCTGCTGACCGCCTGCAGAAAAGCGCGAGTTTGCGGACCGCCTGCCCCCGGCGATTATCTGAGCAACTGCTTTAGCAGGACCAAAAGGGATTCCAGTGGCAGGTGTTGCGTTACACAACAAAGGAAGGAGCAGTGACGTTTTTTTGATAAGCATAACTTCAACCACATCTATCGTCAAAAAGCTTGAATGTTAAAAGATTCTATGACGTGATTTGTTGTGTATGCTGATCTGCAAATAGCGGGAAACCGAGGGCGGTCTCGGTCGGCGGTCAAAAATCGATAAAATCGATAAAAGTAATGGATGAATCCAAAAACTAGCATTGTATTCGTAGTCAGCATGCTCGATTACCCCCCTGTGCAAACTCCCAGCTCCGCAGGTCAAACTTTACAAAAAAATCGATAAAATCGATAAAAAGTTATGGATAGTTTTAAAAACTAATATTGTATTAGTAATCAGCATGCTCGATTACCCCCCTGTGCAAACTCCCAGCCCCGCAGGTCAAACTTTGCAAAACAATCGATAAAATCGATAAAAGTAATGAATGAATCCAAAAACTAATATTGTATTCGTAATCAGCATGCTCGATTACCCCCTGTGCAAATTCCCAGCCCCGCAGGTGAGTTGCGTGGCGTCGAATAGTCAGTCAACAAGGCGACCAATCAGAGCCCGCCACCGCCCCTTGACCCCGCCCCCGCGGGGTATATAAGGCGGCGGGCTCTGAGGTCACCTCATTGCAAGAGTTGTCAATGTGATGGACGGCATCAAGGTAAAAATAGTGGATCTCTTCTCGTGTATCGAGAAGATCGATGGAGATTTTCTTATCCTGAACGAGGATAGAATTTACAAGATTCTACGAGACGGACGTCCAAAGAAGCCAAAAGCACTAGGAAGCCAGCAGATTCATCTTAAAGAGACGCGTATGCCGCCCGCTAAGAGGCGGTAAGTTTTTTGAAACTTCTGTTGATTGTCTAACTAATTTTCGATTTTCAGCCACTCGCCTGCTCCACCGAGGGCACCGAAGGCAGCAAAGCCCACTTCGTCTACTGCAACTCAGTCGGAAAGTAGCATCGGTAGCGCAACGACCGAGGATGACGTCGAGCGAATCGCTCGGGCTGTCGCAGTTCTTAAGAAAAAAGAGAAATCAACCAAGGATGAAAATACTGGCAATCCGACCATTGATGTTGATTGAGTAGACTTTACAACTTGGCAAGTTGCAAATGTTAATAAATAATGTGTTGCTAATGTGTGAGAAAGACCAACAGTTTGAATGAAATGTATAGTGGGGGCTCTGCGTGGGGACCTCCGAATCGATGAGGCCCATTTGAGCCGAAGTTGTACTCCTCTTCTTGAGGAATACAACTTCGGCTTTTTTTAACCGAAGTGTATGTGGCGCCGGGCGGAGCCGGGTAAGCCAGCTATAAATAATGTATTGCTAATGTGTGAGAAAGACCAACAGTTTGAATGAAATGTACAGTGGGGGCTCTGCGTGGGGACCTCCGAATCGATGAGGCCCATTTGAGCCGAAGTTGTACTCCTCTTCTTGAGGAATACAACTTCGGCTTTTTTTTAACCGAAGTGTATGTGGCGCCGGGCGGAGCCGGGTAAGCCAGCTATAAATAATGTATTGCTAATGTGTGAGAAAGACCAACAGTTTGAATGAAATGTACAGTGGGGGCTCTGCGTGGGGACCTTTGAATCGATGAGGCCCATTTGAGCCGAAGTTGTACTCCTCTTTTTGAGGAATACAACTTCGGCTTTTTTTTACCGAAGTGTATGTGGCGCCGGGAGGAGCCGGGTAAGCCAGCTAGTTTGTTAATAATAAAGGGTTTAATTACTCAAGTTTGAGGTGTTGACGTGTGCCGGCGGTTTCTCCGCAACTACCTCCTGTGTTATTCTGGTATTCTCTGTACTATATCCCTACTTCAGCGACTTGGTGGCATTCCAGCGTTCAAGGCAGCACGATCAAAGCCCCATTCCGAACGAACCCAGACCGGCAAGATAGAAAGGTGGCATCAAACTAACCCTCCTATTTTCTTTGTCGGTTCCTTAAATTTTTGAATTGTTTGCTTTGGAGTCTGGGGACCCCCTTTTATCCCTACATTTTCCCCTGGGGTCCCAGCACACATGTAAGCAGAGCGAAAGAGCTCTTTTTTGATCGGGATCCTGAGTTGTTTCAATGTATATTCTTCTACTTGCAAGAGGGGAAACTTATGCTGAGGCACGACGACCTCCGAATTGAAATGCTTCGAGAGGAAGCTGAGGTTAGCTCTGACCTCGAATGCCGCGAAATTGAGGATCTGCGACATTCACGGAAATTTTGCAAGTTCTGAGAGCGGTATTGTAGTGGTAGTTGTGGTTTAGTGGTTTCCGAAGCAGTAAGAGTTAGGATAGCTGATGTCGACTGAGTAAGCAATCTCTTATGAGCATAGAAATAGATACCAGAACAAAAGAAGCTTTGTAGCGACAGGATATTCACCTCAAGCTGGATGCGGAGAACTCGAAAAAAAGGTTCCAGATAAGGCTCGAGACGACTAGATTAGCGTCACAAAAGAAAAAGAGATGAGGCAAGAAGTGGCATTCAGTAACGTCTTGGAAACCACGCATATGAAACACGGAATGACCAAGAGCAAAGCAAAGTATTCTGGGGCTGTCGCCACGGCTCACGACTTGGCCTTAGCGAACTATACTTCGTCAAAGAGACCTCATGGTCACGTATGTCAGCGGAGACCATCGATCACAGATGGATTTCTGATCGCTGAAACAGCGTGAGCCAATTATGTAAGGGAAAGCAAAGTCATTTCCGGAAAAGACTGCGTATCTCAGCAGGCTTGCTTCTGGATTCGAACATCTAATGGTAAGAGAAGGACATCAGTGGCAGAGGGTAAGGTGCGCATTGAGTGGTGTTTGAAGAACGTCATAAACCAAGGCAGCAATGAAGTCGATCATAACAGAGTGAGACGAGCGTTTTTTGGAAACGTCTAAGGAACAACGTCCACCAGATAACAAGTAATTTATTTGGAAGCACCAAACTAGGTAGACCAAAACTCGACAGCAGTAGGTGGCGGAATGAGACTATTTGCGAAATCAAAGAACAAGAGGCGTGTAAAGAATGAACCTTGTTTAGTTTCTTGAAAATCTCCGGATTCGGTCTTCGCTTTCCCAAGTTTAGTTATTGAAGTAAAAACCCGCGAGTAAAACCCGCCACAAAATGTTTTGAAGTAAAAAATTTTCAACTGCGTTACTTTAGATCTCTTTATTTTTCTCTAGGTCCGCTAACATCCTTCACTGGCTATAACAATCCTTCACTTTTCATTTCACCCTATACTAAAAAAGTGAAAGTGTCATCGTATTAGAACTCATGCTTCACAAGCTTGAGTACTTTTTGGATCGGTCTCGTCGGTAAAAGTGAAGTCGGGAGTCTGCAAACTGGAGTATTTCTTGCTTACTATTCTACAGAAACCTTGTTTTTCCATACAAATTGAATTTCGGCGGGAATCTCAATTCGAACAGCACCTACCGTCGAGTAGTTGACCGCCGCACGAACTGCACAAATGTTTTGTATAATGGCGACTTGTACTGGGGCTATCGTTTTGTTTTGCGGCGCGTACTCCTTAGCAGCCCAGTCCGTGCGGAACGACTCGACGATATACTGTACAGCATGTGTCTTGAGAGGAAGACCACACCAGTAGGTTGTGGTCTTCCTGCTGTAGAACTGAAACTAACACTCCTGCAAATCATAGGTGCGATAAAGTGAAAATAACTCCTCTACAGTGAAGGTGGTCATAGTGGTCGCAGCCCCTCCAGGATGAAGGGTGTTTCACTTGGTAGAGAAATTATAAAATGTCGACCAGGTGGGGGGGGGGGGGCCATGGTGTTCCCTCATCATTTTTCCTAGTCAAAGTTTATAATTTTCAATTCCTTGCCACCACTGGTTGTCTTTTTTCTGAAATATGAAATGATGTGCTGCTGGATTAGCACACATTATATTTCTGACCAGCACCCTGTATTATTTCACATTTCCTTTTCCCTTTTTTACATCACTCTGCCTGTCTTTGAAATTACCATAGAAGATGTGCATGCGAGAAGATGTTCATCTACAAAAGTTACGAATTTTTTATGTTAAAAACTCAAAAATCTCCAGAAATCACTAGGACACCCTTCGTCACCCAGGCACTTTTTTGGACAAACCTCAGACAACCAATATATTTTTTGAAAGCGAAAGACGAGGCGGATTCGAGGGTCACTATTTCTTTGTACAAATTGTTCATCTACAAAACTTATGAATTATTTTATGTTAGAAACTCGAAAATTCCCAAAAATCACTAGGCACACCCTTCCCCGCACTTTCTTGAACGGATCTCAAACATGCTTTACATTTTCTGAAAGCGGAGACGAGATGGTTCCAATGATTTTCATATCGGCTACAAGATGTTCATCTACAAAAGTTATGATTTTTTTATTTTAAAGGCTCGCAAATCTCCAGAAATCACTGAGCACACCCTTCACCCTGGCAGCTTTTTGGACGGATCTTAGACATACTATTAGGGTGAACGGTAAATAATGGGACACCTTGAGAATAATGGCAGATTTCTCAAGAAAGTGTCGGGATGCAGCTAATCCCCAACAGCTGCCTAGGAAGGAGGTTGGCCCTGGATAGCCAACCTCTGGCAGTGACCTCCGCCCGCCGGCAGAAGCCGGTGCCCTCTCCCCTCTCCTCTTACACTTTCTGTATATATCTGTATAATAAATATCATAGTAAGACCTATGTAAACCCGCTACACATCAGGTAAAGGCGTCATGAACCTTTATCCTGACATGGAAGTCCCGGGAAGATTTTTTTCTCAAATCCTAAAATTAAATTTTTTTATCAACCAATCAACCATATGGTAAATAATATTCGATCCCCTCCTCCCCTCTGCCAAAATCTTCCAACCGTCTGGATGGAGTCACTCAACAACGAATGAAAGCGAGTGTGTGAGTTCTAACTGTTTTGTTAATTTATCTATAATAATCGTGTGCAGTGAAAATATTTACTCATTTCAGAAGGAATAAAATAAAATAAAATAAATTAAAATAAAATAAAGTGAAATATTAGGTCGTTCCGAAAGTAATGTCGCTTTTTTCGAATGAACGCCACTATTCGTGGAATCAACATTTTCAAGAGATCTCAGAAGCATTCGATGCAGCATTTCATCCTCTTTCAAATGGTTCTAATATCACTGCATAATGTAGAATGAGCTTTCGAAAAATTGCCAAAATCTGCGACTTATGCTTTTTGCCATGGTCAATTTCGGCTATTTTTCTAAATTTTTGTACCTGTTCTCCGGGAAAGTGAAAGTGGCAGGTAGATAGAGCAAACACTATAGAACAGAGAGTAATTCTTTCTTTTCCTTAGCTTGCTTCTCAGAGTTTCTACAATCAATTTCTCAATGCCATCAAATTCCATATTTAGTCAAGTTAAACCTCACAGAACAACAACCGGCAAGCGACTCGAGCGTCATTCGATGCAGATTTTTCTCCTCTTTCTAATAGTTGTTTTTTGTTTCCTACTTATCAAGTTTTCCGGGATAAAATCATCATAATTCAACTTTTCCAAGGCCCCCAAGGTGTACTCGAAATTTTCGAAAGTTGCTAAACCGAAGCGGTCAAAGCTCGTTTGGTTTGTAAAATTGTTGCCAAACCATAATCCATCTTTGCAGCTTTCAAAATACGAAGATTTATTGGTGATTGGTGCATTTGTGTCTGAGACGAGCCTGCTAAAATTCGGTGGTTCCATCAAAAATTCTGTACAAAAATTATGACGAGCTCTGGAAAGTAGAAAAAAGTTGTGCCGTTTGCTGTAGGGTTTGCTCCATCCATCCATTACTTGGACTCCTTCTGAGGTTTGTTACAAAATTTTAAAAAAATTGTGAAACTTGGCCATCTCAAAAAGCATAGGTCGCAGATTTTGACTCTTTTTGGAAGCTCATTGACTGTATTACAACAACTTCATAACCATTAGAAAGAGAATGAAATGCTGCATCAAATGATACCAGAACCTCTTATACATCTTTGTTCAACTAGATGTGGCATACGTTTGAAAAAAGCGACATTACTTTCGGAACGACCTAATAAAATAAAAAATAACAGTCCTGCGAACAGTCCCATTTTTGTCAATTCTTTCTTTCGCAAAGCGCTCGCATATCCCGT